TTATAATAAAGTATTTTTTACTACTTATTTTGTTTTCATATCGTTTATTGTGTATTGTTCCCCCTCCCTAATGGTTGTAAGCCGCCCTGAGTCCCCTCAGGGAAAAGGGCGGCCTATAAATTTTAATAAAATACCTAAAAAAAAATACCTAAAAAAAATACTTTATTATAAGGTTACATTAACAAGAGTTCTCCTGCCATTACACTTTCTGAGGACAGTCCCTCCTGGGCCTCTTTCTCCACTCAATATTCTGGACCATGCTCTCTTCTGTAACCTTTCTGGAGGCAGCATCCCTTCTCCTTTCTCCCAAGGACTTTCCCACATACCACTTCCTCACTCTGGGATGTTTGTCCTGGGATTCCTGCCCAGAATAGGGTGTCAGATTTGATGGCCTAATGGCCCTTCCAAATCCACAGGTCTGAATTTTGACCAAATCTCCCAATCTGTCTCTTGATGAGACTGAACACAGCAACCTGGGCTCCTGATAGGAAGGAGGACTCCTGCAGCAGTAGTTGGAATGCAGGCACAGCTTCAGTCGTTTGAACCTTCTTCCAGGCAAGGTCCTCAGTCTTGATGAAACATCCCATTTTCTGAGAAGGATGAATTGACCAGAGAGCCCTTTGTTGGGGGTGGGGGCTGCTACACATTCCAGTCTTCAAAACTTCTAGACTGCCTGTTGTCTTGTTCCTACCTCCAGAAAAGCCTCCCCTGGATGTCTCTCTGCAGTGTCATCCTGATTTTCTTGCTTGTCATCCTCTTTGGAGTTGGACCAAGTGAGTATACAAGTCCTTTCAGAGTAGCAATGTGGAAAGAGAAAGAGGCCTGATGGAGGGGGTGGAAGGGGGAGGGTCCTGCCAAGCAATAGTATTGGTGGAGAGAAATAAAGGCAGGAACGGAGGGACTCCAAGCAGAAAATGGGGAGGGCAGGCCTGAGTAAGAATAAAGTGCCACTGGTGGAACAGAAATGGTTTTTTGGAAGAAGGTCCAGTTCCAAGATGGGAATAAAATGGGGTCTGCTTAAGAAAGCTTATGCTATTGGTGGTTCTGGGACAGCTGACAATTTGGTTGAATGAGTGGATGGATCTTTATAGGTTTCTGTGATGCTGTTGGGGGTTGTGCAATATCTGAATTGCCCCTAGGGTTTGTGCAATTTAGTGAGCTTTGTGTTTTTTCTATTCTAATGGTGGTGGTGTTTTAATCCTATTATGTCCTAAAGTCCTGTTCTTAGAATTTGGGTGTAGAATTTTAATCCTATTGCTGGAGGCACAAAAGTGTTTCCTTTGTGAATAAGACGGCCCAGTGGGCACAAAATATCCATCTCTAAATACTTCAGGCTCGCTGGAACTATTAAGACATACCGGGGCTGCTTTCTGCCTTTAAGAACATGTTTCCCCATTTCTCCTTTGGGGGAAATATAATATTCTGCCTCTTTTTAATATCCCCCCAAATATTTCATCCTCTAAGAGTGGGTGGTGGTTCCCACAGCTTGTATCTCATGTGACCAACCCAATTTTACCACCTTTTCTGCAATGGGTATTAAGTATATGCACAGGCTTGAGTTATTAAAAATAATAAAGGCAGAATGAGGGAGGGAGGGAGGGAGGGAGGGAGAGAGGGGGGGAGAGAGAGAGATATTAAATGAGCTCCCAGTGATTCTGAGCGGTTAAGAAATTATTTAAAACCAAAAAAATTTAAACCAAAGGGGGAAACCTAGGACCACAGGGCAGTCCTAGTTTCTCAGGTGGCCCCTGGGGAAAACCAATTCTCCACCTCTGCCCTAAATAGAGCTGCTTGATGGCGATCAGTAAAAACTATAAAGATGCACAACTATTGATTTTCACACATACACCATTGCCATATAGTGCTGTAACTTCTAATAGTTGTTATAATTTGTTTATTAATGTATTTATTTGTTTATTAATGTATTCATTTATTAAACAAATTTATATGGTTACCCAACCCACACAAATGACTCTAGGCCACTTATAGCTATTAAAAATCTGCAACATAAACCCATATCCCCCCTCCCCCACCTTAGCAGCAGCAACAAATATGCTCACATCAGCCCAGGGGTCCCTAGACCTGCAGACAGAACATTTTCTGGGCCTTCCAGAAAAGTAGCAAGTTGGGGCAACCTTATCTCTGAGGGAAGGATCAGGCTCTTTTTCTTGGTCCTGCCAGAGGCACTTCTCTGTCAGATGGGATTCTCATTGGGTAGACCTGCATCGGTTAGATATAACTGGGAAGGGGCAGTCCTTTGAATAACCTGTCCCCAAGCTGCTTTAAAGTGAGAACTAGCATCTTGAACTGTACCCAATGTAGCTCTTGCAAAAGAGGTGACACCTGCACAAATCTGGGCTTGTGCAAAACTGGTCAAGCTGCTTCATTTTGAACCAACTAAAGTTTCCAGATAATTGGGCTGAATTTCTGCCTTTTGCAGAGGTGGCATAGGGAAATAACTATGCTTGCATTTGCATGGGAAATCCAGAGCTGGTTTCCCTTCTTTTGTGCCAATGTAGTGTTCCAATAAAGTATTACACTCCTGATAAAATTATGTCCCAGGAGTTTCTTTTGGGGGGGGGATGCCAACTGGACAGTTGACAGTCCATTGGGTTCAGAGAGACTTTTAATGTCATCTGCATCAATTGCAGAAAATGACATAAATGGATGCAAATAAGGCAAATATCAATTATAGAAATGACCTAGATTGATACAAATGATGTAAAAGTTAATTTTGCAGATTACCCCAATTAAGATTTGGCTGCCAATGGACACTCTTTGCCCCCAATACTCCATTAAATTGAGCTAAATGAAAGTTAGCATCTGATAGAATTATCATGATTAGGGTTTTTTCATTTCTGGATGTTACTATTGGTGGTTTTTGTTTATAGGCCCAAAGAAGGCTATGGATTACCATGCCACTGCTAATGGTTCTCCAGATAAATGAATTCTTGCTCATCCTGGGTTAAAAAGGGTTTCTCTGCATTTGAACATATTTCTCTATGTTGTCCCTCTTAGATGGAGCCACATTCTCTATTATGATGGAAATTTTCAGCCAGTCCGCCAGGGCAGCAGCGTTCACAATCGGTGGTTGTCTAAACTGGGCAGGCCTCTTTGTTATCGGAATCGCTTTCCCTTTTGCTGAGGTCAGTTTTTCCCAGCCCTCCATTTCTCTCCCAAGTTGCCTCCACATGGCAACAATGGGAACAATTCCAGGCACTGGGTTGGGCTGCAGGTAGGGAGTTGCACCACATAAAGTCCCATCTTGGTTGTTCAGCCAGCCCAGGGCAGTCACTTAAATGTGTCTGATGTTGCTAGAAATAGCAATAATGCCAACAATACAGAACAATAATTATTATTATTTAGCTGGAAGCTAAATCATATGATGAATGACTGAAGGAACTGGGTATGTCTATCTAATGAAAATAAGGACTAGGGGTGAGTGGCTTCTGATGTTCCCTCCCAAAGATTGGCCAACTATTCCATCTCTCAGGCTGGGGGGTGAAATTATACGCCCCTCAGAGAGGGTTTGCAATTTGGGAGTCCTCCTGGACCCTCAGCTGACTTTAGAACACCATCTGTTGGCTGTGACCAGGGGGACCTTTGCCCAGGTTCGCCTGGTGCACCAATTGCGACCCTACCTGGATCGGGAGGCCCTTCAGACAGTCACTCACGCCCTTGTGACCTCAAGACTGGACTACTGTAATGCGCTCTACATGGGGCTGCCCTTGAAGAGTGTTCGAAGACTTCAGTTAGTCCAGAATGCAGCCGCGAGCGATTGTGGGTGCACCTAGGTACACCCACGTCACACCTATCCTCCGCGAGCTGCACTGGCTACCCATTAGTCTCTGAATCTGCTTCAAGGTGCTGGTCGCTACCTATAAAGCCCTACATGGCATCGGACCTGGGTACCTGAGAGACCGCCTCCTGCCGATTACCTCCCTCAGACCGATAAGATCTCACAGGTTAGGTCTCCTCCGGATCCCATCTGCCAGCCAATGTCGGCTGGCGACTCCCCGGGGGAGAGCCTTCTCTGTTGCAGCTCCAGCCCTCTGGAATGACCTCCCCGTGGAGATCCGGACCCTTACTACCCTCCTGGCCTTCCGCAAAGCCACCAAGTCCTGGCTGCTCCAGCAGGCCGGGGGGCTTGTGAAACATCCAGCCACATGGAAATTGTGAATGTTGCATCTTTTTTTAAAGTGTTGTCTTGTCAATTTATCCCCTTTCCCTTGTGAGCCGCCCGGAGTCCTCTGGGAGTGGGCTGCATACAAGACAAATGAAATGAAATGAAATGAAATGAAAATATGACAGCAGTCTTCCAGTTCTTGAGGGGCTCTCAAAGAGAGCGCGGGGGGAGGACCTATTCTCCAAAGAATCTGGGGACAGAACCAGAAGTAATCGGTGGAAGATCATTAGAGATTCAACTTAGAACTAATGAAATTTCTTGACAAGTGAGAACATTTAACCAGTGGAATGACTTGCCTCCAGAAAATGTATGTGCACCAACACTGGAGGTTTTTAAGAAGAGATTGGACAACAATTTGTCCAGAATGTACACGGTGTCCTGCTGGAGCTGGGAGCTGGACTAGAAGACTGCCAAGGTCCTTTCCAACTATTTTATTCCATGTTCTGTATATTTTTAAATGTCAACATACTCTATTGCAGTGGTTCTCAACCTGTGGGTCGGGACCCCTTTGAGGGTCAAATGACCCTTTCACAGGGGTCGCCTAAGACCATCAGAAAACACATATTTTCAAAAAAATAGGAAAAACAGAAAATAATTTTATGGTTGGGGGTCATCACAACATGAAGAACTGTATTAAAGGGTCATGGCATTAGGAAGGTTGAGACCCACTGCTCTATTGGGTCATCATTTCAGAGATATTTCCTACCTAGGTAAAGAAACAGCAGAACTATGAGTGGACAAGAAAGCAGGGGAAGCAGGAGCAACTTCTGGCTTCCTGCCAGCTTTCCCATTGACTTTCCTTGTGGGAAGCTGGATGGGAGCATCAAAAATAATCCTTCATCCTTTCCTCCCTCCCATGCATGCTGGTTCCCCCCTTGACTTTGCTTGCAAGGTAAGCTTGCAAGGAAAAAGCCATTGGAGAAGCTTGCAGGAAGTTGCAGGTCCAAGGTGAAGGAAAATGAAAGTCAGTCTCCTCTGATGCACCCTTTTCTCCATCCTCTTTTAATGACCCAGAGATCCTTGTAGTTTTCTCTAGATGCAGTTTCTGTTTCTTCTCCACTAGACTGCAATTCCAGCTTGAAGTTTGGGAATGATGGAGATAAAAGAGGTAATTTGTTCAATGACTCCAGACACTAATAAGACTGTTGCTGTTTATTGTGTCCATTCCAGGAAAGTCTGGGTCCCTTTTGCTTCCTTCTCTTTGCCACCGTGCTCTCTGGCTCTGGGATATTCTTCTACTTATTCCTTCCAGAGACAAAAGGCAAATCTGCAGTAGAGATCACAGAGGAATTCAGCAGATCATCTTTGGGAAAGAAACTTGCTGTTCTCGGGAAAAATTTCAGTGAGGACCATTCAGTGTACTCAAGTTTCTGAGCTACATCTGCCGAGGAAGATTTAAAAGGGTATGGGCATCACGAAGGGCAATGTTGCCAAGACGAATATTTCAGCTCCCAGCAGTTTTGGCTCCTGGTAAGCTCAGGTGCTCCACCCCTCCGTAAGTGTTACTCTTCATTTTAATCTGAACACAGATTAAAGTACAGCCAACCATCTTGTAACCCCCATCCTTCATGGCATTGAGGTGTCTTCCACTTCTTGCTGAGCATTTATAGATCTCTCCCAACATGTTGCCAGGTTGCCACTGCTTACTGGCTTCATTTCTGCTCAAGCTCAAATGCTTTTCCTGCACAATGTTTTCCTTATTGTTTTTCACCTGTTGGAAAAGCAACTCATGGCTCTACTCAAATCTCAATCAAATTAAATTAAACCAACCTAGTTAATGTGTAAAAATGGCTGCTAAAGAGTTGCTACTTGAAATTATTTCCTTCCATCCCTTCTATCTTTAAGCTTTATGATTAAAGTATTTAACCTTAGACAAATAACATACTAAAGGGTTTTACTAACATTTTATTTCTGAGCAACTTGGAATATGTTAACAGCAAAATAAAAATGTAAAAAAAGGAACAGTAACTCAATTCCAGTCCAAGTCCAATACACTCAAAATTGTCAACATTGAGAATGTTTTCTTTATATAGACTGAAGAAATATAGAGGAAAAGTCAAGAAAACAGTCGGCCCACTGAAGAGAAAAGATGGCAAGGAGGTAACACGCATTAGAGAGAAAGTAGAGATACTTAACTCATTCTTTGCATCAGTCTTCATGCAAAAAGAAACTTTAGCCCAATGTATCAAAAATGTAACAGTAAAATACAGACTAGAAATACAATTAAAATAAGCAAGAAAATGATAAACAAACACATGTCTGACTTTGATTAGTATAAATCTCCGGGACCTGAAGGATTACATTCCAGGGTTCTGAAGGAGCTGACAGATGTTCCTCAAAACCATTGTATCATATCTTTTAAAAGTCCTGGCACACCAGGGAACTGCCAGAGAATTGGAAAAGAACTGTGGTTCCCATCTTCAAAAAAAGTGAGAGGGAACAGATCCAGGAAACTACAGACCAATCAGCCTAACATCAATATCTGGGAAGATACTGGAAAAGTAATAATAAAAAAATAGATCTGTGAACATCTAGAGACAAATAAAGTTATAACTAGTAGCTAGCATGGGCTTGTTAAAAACAGATCATGCCAAACTACCATATTTTTGGAGTATAAGACAGACCTTTTTCCCTCAAAAAAGAGGCTGAAAATCTGGGCGCGTCTTATACACTGAATACAGCATTTTTGCCTCCCAAAACCCCACCCCCTTCACCAAAATGGCTGTGTATAGCTTTTAGGAGGCTTTCAGAGAGCTCCTGGGGGCTGGGGAGGGCAGAAATGACCCCCCAGCCCCCAGGAATACTCTATAAGCCTCCTAATAGCTATCCATGCCCTTTTTTTGACAAAAACGGGTCCATTTTTGTGAAAAACAGACCGTCTTTTGCTCAATTTGCCCCCCCTCCCGGATCACTCTATAAGCCTCCTAAGGGCTATTCGTGCCCTTTTTAAAAAAAAGAAAACTGGGCCGTTTTTGCAAAAAAACCGACCATTTTTGTCAGATTTGCAAAGTGCAAAAACTTTTTTTAAAATTTGCCTCTGCAAAACCTTAGTGGGTCTTATACTCTGAAAAATATCGTAATTGTCAGAGTTCTGATTAATGAACCCAAGCCAATCAGAACTCTAAGTCTAGGATCCTTCTTAACCATCTTCTTTATTGAGTACATCACATCAGTACAGCTTAAAAAAAATTCTAAATCTTTCCCATGGTTTCAGTATAATTAAAATAGGAAATAACCCCAACCCCAAGTGTCACAGGTCACGTTGGCCAGTTGAGCTAATTGATGGGCTCTCCAAGCATTCCTTCTCCAACCTTATGTGTTGCCAGTAGAGATTATCTTGGTTGTAACTAGAAAGCTCTCTGTTGTCTAGTAAGGCATTCCAACCTCCTTCCCCCTTCCCATTCTATGTGGCAACCAGTGATGTGCGGTGAGCTTTATGGCTGGTGAGGCAGCCATTTTTTTAGACTTGTGGACTTCAACTCCCAGAATTCCACAGCCAGGCATGCTCAGTTCTGATTTAAAGCGACAGCATTTTCCCACCTTGCAAAATAAGTTTTCCATCATTCTTTTTCTTCATTCCTCCCCCTCCTTCCTCCCTCTCTCCCTCCCTCCCCCCTCTCTCAAACAGACACACGCACACAGAGAAGTTGGATTCCTCTCTCACTCACTCACTCACTCTCAAACAAACACAAACACAGAAGTTGGATTGGATATATTTTCCAAAGGCTTGAAAGCAGCTCCTCTGCCATACCCCCCCCTTCCCCTGCTGCCTTCCGATCTGAGCCTTTGATTGCAAGGAGCTGTTGCCTTTTCAAACTTGTAATCAGTGAAGCTGGGCTTATATACTTTTATCCAGCTCTCTGTGTGTGTTTGTGTGTGTGTGTGTGTGTGTGTGTGTGTGTATGTGTGTGTGTTTGAAAAGGCAACATGGTTCTGCATGCAATCAAACTTTTTGAATTCCTCCCACTCCCCACACACGGACCTTTTCCAGCTGTTTCAGAGAGGGTTTCAATTCTGCTTTTGCCAGAGCTCTGAGTCAGAGCTAGTTGCTCCCAGAGAACTCTAAAAAGTCTCTAAAAATGCCCTCTACAGGAGACGAGAGAACACGTGCCTCCTTTGCATATGAAATTTTTTGCTTTTTAACCCTTGCATAACTCTTAAAGGATGAAAAATTGATTATGCACAGGAGGCCCATAGTTCTCTCACCTCCTCCTATAGTTAACACTAAGCAGACTCCAAGCCACTGTGACTTGGAATCTGGCAGCAACTACCTTGGCTTTAATTATTTTTTTAAAAATTCTTTAAAATTCTTTCCTTTTCCACATGACTGGTGAGGCCACGCCTCCCCTGCCTCTAGTGACTGCACGTCCCTGGTGGCAACTGAGTAACAGAAAGATGGTTGCTGTCAAGTTCAGGTGACACCAATCTTATTTCATTCTTTGACAAAGTGACTAAATTAGTAGACTAGCAAAATGCTGTGGACTTGAACAAGGCATTAGACAAAGTAGATCACAACCTACTTCTTGGAAAACTAGAAAGATATGGGATAGACATCATCACCACCAGATGAATTTGTAACTGGCTAACAAACTGTACTCAATGAGTAGTGAGGTAGCACAAGGTTCCATCTTAGGGTCTTGGAGTACTAAAATGATCAGTTAAACATGAGCCAGTAGTGTTTGGCAGCAGCCAAAAAAGCTAATACTTGGTTGTATAAACAGAGGCATAGAATCAAAATCACATGAAGTACCTCCAGTACCCCTTTATAATGCTTCCCATTATTACTGTGGACATAATATTCTTGGACTTTGGCATTTGACAAAGTAGACCGCAATTTACTTTTTAGTAAGAATTTAATTTCATTCTATGAGGTACAATGACAATAAAGTAAACTACAAGAATATCCAGAATATCAAATTTCAACGTTTTGAAGGGATGTCACAAAGAAAAGTGGATTTATCTATTTTCCAAAGCACCTGAGGGCAAGACAAAAAGTGACGGATGGAAGATTATTAAAGATCCAACCTAAAACTAGGGAGAAATTTCCTGACAGTGAGAAGAATTAATCAGTGAAGAAGCTTGCATCCAGAGGTTGTGGGTGTTCCATCACTGGAGGTTTACAAGAAGAGATTGGAAACCCATCACCCAGCAGGGCTGTCAAACTCCGGCCTGCGGGCCGAATGTGTCATGCGCTGGCCACGTTCACATCCATTTTAGTGAAGGGGGAAAATCTAGCCACCTGCTCAAGCCCTCTGGACTCAAAACCCATAGGTCAAATGTCAAACCTTCACCTGTGTTTTCTAAAATTCATGCTTCATCATATCACTCCCTGAATTCAAACTGCTTTTTCACAAATCAGGGTTATAGCTTTCTCTTACTGCTCTTTTGAGATTGGAGACAAGCAGTAAATAAGGCCATCATTCCATTGCAATTCCTTGTTTTTTTGGATCCTGGACCGATTTTAATTCTCCTTTGTTGTCTAATAGCTCACCATTTTATTGAGATCTGTGGTATTTGAGTAGATCATTGCCTCCATCGTTGATAACCAAATTGGGATCTTCATATAAAGTTTTTTTTTCCCCCAGATACCTAACAGGGCATCTCTTAATATGTGCCTCTGGAAATATGAGTTAACTTTATAAGTTGGAAGTCGTGGCCTTTTATTGTTAGTATCCTTTTATTTTTCAATAGAAAATTAAGCCATGTCATGGCTGCAGCTTGATAATAGAGTTCCCAGTCTGGGAGGGCAAACCCTCCTTTACTTCTGCTATCCTGTAGGAGTTTGAGTTTTATATGTGTTTTTTTTCCCCCTGCCCAAATAAATTTAGATACCATTTTATTTAATTGCTCAAAAAGTTTTTTGCCTAATTTTATTGGAAAAGATATAGCAATTAAAGGTAATATATTCATTTTAATTCTTGAAATTCTGTCAATTAATATCTGTAGTTTAGTCCAATTATCCAAATCTTTTTGTATTTGTTTTAGTAATCTATTGTAATTGTCTTCTTTTATTGTTGTACATTTTACCATTAATCATATTCCTAAATATCTAATTTTTTTGCCCTTGAAATCCCCAATTTCTCCTCCAATTCTTCAATTTGTCTATTTAGTAAGATTCTTGGTTAACATTTTGGTTTTCTCTTTATTTATTTTGAGCCCTGCTGCCTTGCCAAATTGTTTTATTTCCTGTAATAATATTTCCCCGCTTTCTAACGAGTATTCTATAATAAATGCCAAATCATCTGCGAAAGCTTGGGCTTTATATTCCTCCTTTTTAATTTTAATCCCTTTATTTCCTGATTTTGCCTGATTTGTATAATTAACGGCTCTATTGAGAGAATGAAGAAACAGGAGGGATGGGAGCATCCATGTCTCACCCCTCTAGTTATATTAAATCCTTCTGTTAGTTCTCCATTTAGAATTATTTTTGCCACGTGGCTTGAGCAGATTGCTCTAATCATTCCAATGAATTTCTCTCCAACTTTCATCTCGACTACCAAATTTTTCGGAGTATAAGACTCACCCTAATTTTGGGGGAGGAAAACAGGGGGGAAAGTTTCTGCCTCTGCCTACCAGCATCCATTGGTAGTAATCTGGCTAGCGTCCTTGCAGCAAATAGCAAATGGCCTGGCCAGGTTCAGCAGCCTGATTCAGCAGAAGCAGCTGATTGAAGGGTGGAATACCCCCAACCAGCTGCTCCAGGCTGCAGGATGCCACAGACCATCACCACCTGTGTGCCTCACATTTTCCGGTGGTCCCAGGCAGCGGTGATCCTCACTTCCATTCGGATTTTGACAATGAGCAGCACAGATTTTTTTATCCATTTAAAACAAACCCTATCACCCTATGCGGATTTAACTGGAGTGCATGGGGAGGGGAGGGGTGGGGGATGATTTTCATGGAGGCAGAAGAGGGACTTGGCTGCTCGAAAAGGCTGGCCCAGCACTGGTGACGCTCAGGATCACTGAAGCCCTCTTGGAGGGACACCTGCTGCAGGGGCTCAGACCCTTCGCAGGGCTCTAGCAGGGCACTTGCTCTCCCCACTAGACCCCTGTGAAGGGTGGCATCAAAGGTGGCACAGCAGACCACTTCTCGCCTTGTAGCCTGGGATGAGCTCCATAGCGTTGTTATCCCCTGCACGCTCTCTCTCAGTCTCACTTTGCAAAATTGGTTCCCCCCTCCTGTACAAGGGCATTTACAGTAACAATGCATTGGTTAACATTGCCTCCCACAGCCATTTCCTCCTCCTCTTAAATCCTCTCTTCTCTGCATGAGCCAAATGTTTGCAGCAAAAAATTGAAACCAGGTGTTCTTGTGAGGTGGCGCGGGAGTTGCTTGGGAGAAGCAAGGATAAGCTTGGTATTTTCTCTCTCCCAGCCCCCTTCCTCTCTCCCCCCTTTTTTGGCCTGCCTGCAATCTTAGCTTGTGGCTCCTTGGCTTAT